GGCAGATGCCACCGCCAGTTTCGCTAGAAGACCCATTGTGTGGCGGTTGGGTTGTGCGGAGTAGGCAGGTTGGTCGGTATGAAGGGCGATGCTTCAAAGTTGGTATATATATACGGCGACGCTATCCATAACTTGATGCGTAGACAGCCGGCGGCGGGAAATGTCGAATAGCTCGGAGGCGGCATCGACGGTGGGAGGGCCTTCGGGGTTGCACCGGGCAGACGTTCGAGCGGACAGTACACCCAGAAAGTCGGAAGGGAGCTCCAGCAAGAGCGCATCGTATCTTCCTCCTTTCGGGCGAGCTTCGGCGTGGTTTCCCCATCCGGAATAAGCCACGCGCACGCGCATTGAGCGCATTCCCGCGCAACAGCGCCACGATCCTTCTCCACTCCCCGCGCATTCCGTGCGCCCGCCCCGGGGCTATCAATATCGAAGCGCGCTGTAGAAAGCAGTTGATCTATAGCTTGCGTCGATACGTGGAAGAAGGAAGCTAGCTCGGCGGAGCGGGATGTGCGGGACTGTAGCATTGGAGGTCCGCCGTTCGGGGTGACTGGGGATGGCACACAGGCGTCCAGATGTGGAGAAAGAGAAGCTCCGGCTTCTTCAAGGCAGAGAGTCACGCTCGAGATACATATCCCTAGCATGGGTAGTGCTTAAAAATGTATCGAGAAGTTGCGACTCGCGACTCGCCATGATGGTCGGGACCAAGTTCGGCGACGCGTCGAATGCCCGATGCGCTTTCCATAACCCTAACCCTAAGGCGGACGAGGAGCAAGAGTTCGTTTCCCTCGGGACATGAAGAGCTCGTATGCCCAGTAATGTACACATAGGGCTATCATACACATCTTGGAGCATCCTCCATCCACAGTAGCACAATTGTCCCCTGAGTACCTCCGTAACGACACTGGGCTATGGCGGGCGGCTGAATACATCTACCACAAGCCATATTCAACTATATCCCGCTCCAACTCGCTCGCCTCAGCAATAGTGTACCCCCTCTTCTTCCCCCATTCCGAAGCAGGCACGTCGTCAAAGCGCGTGAAGTTTTCGAGTGAGATGTACGGTTCCTGCACCTCCACGTTCATATAATACGAGTACTGCTCGCGACGGCTGCAGAGCATAGTCAGCCCGGAATCTTAGTGTGGTAAGACGGTTTGGATACGCACTCAATGGGGAAGTTATCCACAAGAGTTCCGCCGTTCTCCAGAGCCTCGTTGTTCAGCCACGTCACCCACTGCCGAAGGAAAGCTGTGATATCTTCAGCCCGACGTGAGTTCAGAGCAACGCACAAAACATACCTTCGCTTTGTTCAGTGCCCCAAAGACCCCCGAAAGAGCGATAGCGCGTCGAGTTGTACTGGCGCCATAGCTCCGCTTCGTTCGGCAAGCGCGCAGTGCCCTGCCAGATCCTCGCCAGTCCGAGAGCTTGGTAGCGTGTAGTCGTCCACGGGCGAGCTGTTCGGATGTTCAGCACTCATTCAACCTCGTGGGAGTCCGAACTTACTATTGGTGAAGGCCAGCGTAGGATCGGGAATATAGTTCCCAGTCCAATGCACGTTGTGCAAGGAACGGATGCTGTCCGGCTCGTGAGTACCGCCGTTGCCGTCCCTAGAGACGTGGTGTATTAGCACCGGCGATGCCTAGGGGGTGGATATACGCTCACTCGTGCAGAACCTGCGCCAATATGCGATTCGCGTGGATGTAGCCTGTCGCCAAGATGACCTTCACAGGCGTGAGATGAGCATATGCCCCAACATACTGCGTTCGGCAAGACATACCTCGTCAACTCCAAGCTCAAGAGTAGATCCGTTAACAAAGGCGATCTTTCCCGACTGGATTCCCTGGCCATTGAGTGGCTCGAACGACGCGATCTCCGGTACTAGGTTCGTGATCGCTGGAAGCCGCTTGTACGAGCGACGCTGGAACGGATGCAGTTTCTCCCAATCGTAGTCCTTCAAAAGCCGAGATCAGCAATGGGCATGTCAGGACGAGTAAATGCTGACCTTGCGACTAAGATACAACGTCTTCACATACGGCGCTATATCCCGCGCAATCTCCGAGGCAGATACACTTGCGCCCACGATGAGTACAGTCTATAAAAGATGCTATCATGAGTGCCAATCATCCTTCTCCAAGGAGACACTGACCTTATTCGAGTAATGCTCCGGACGGCGATACGCCCTCGAATGATAGATACTGAACCCCGTCGCACTCTCACTGTCCCTAACCTCGCTCCACTCAACAATGCCCTTGACATCAGGCACATGCGGCAGCTCGGAGTCCAACCCAAAAGCAACAACAACAGCATCGAACTCCTCCTTCCACCAGACCGCCTCGAGCCTATTCGTCTCCTCGAGCTTGCGCAGGCGTTTAAGCGTCAAGACCCACTTCCCGTCGGGCGAAGGTTTCTCGATGCGCTCGACGCGCGTGTTGTACGAGACGAGCGAGGGGTCGTCGTCTGATGCTAGACCGTGGATCGCCGCGTAGCCGCGTACATGCGCCGAGACGATGTCTTGCGTGGGAGCCCATTTCTGTATGAGAGTACGGTGAGTTTTCTTGTGGGATGAATTGATCCTTGAAGAACGCACCGAGTCGGGAGGATAGGGTACACCGGGAAGATCGGTGATACTGATGGGAGAGTTGGTGAACAAGTTCTTCCAAACGGGCCGCGGGACCCAATGTGCGCGCCATCTCTCGTCGACACTGTATCCGTCCTGACCATCGCTGTACACCTCAACATGCGGCAACTCGTTCGGCGTATACGACGTAAGATCCAGTGGCGCATCTCTACATCCCGCCCTCAGCATGCACTCAACGTCGAAGTAAGGCAGTATGACACGCACGGGTACGACTCGCGCACAGGTATCTCATCCGTGTATCTCCAGTTGCCGCCAGGCCCAGGCGCGCGGTCGAAGATCGTAACATTGAAGCCATGCTCGCTCAGCTCTGCCGCGGCTTGCAGCCCGGATGGACCGGCGCCGATAACAGCCACGCGGCGAATGGGGTGCGGAAAGGTCGTCCACGGCGAGCTCGAGTCCGAGTCGAGGAGGACCTGCTCGGCGGACGCGATCCCACCGAACAGTAGGGCAGATAAGATGCCTGACGACTTCATAGCGACTTCTTCTAGCAAAGCCGCACGCCTTGACAAGATCTCCGCCGGTATATAGAGTCTACAGCCTCAACACCTCGCGCCATCGCAACCTGGCATTTCGCGACTCATGCCGCGACTCGATCACTGCGTGTCAGCCTCGAAGGGCTTACGGAGCGCGCATAACAGGCAAGGCTGTCTCTGTTGCGAGATGTCGCGGTATCATGGCGCGAGACGATGGGAAAAGAAGCTTGGACGAATTTGGGTCATGATGCATGATGGTGGTGGGTCGAAAGAGAAGGCACCAGTCGACGTCTCGAAGCTCGAAGCTCGAAGTCGCGCGTCGTCGGTTGAGCAGAGCAGACTTCGGAGGAAGCCGGCGGCATAATACATGTACGATGCACCAGTCTAGGCGCTTGCGCGTTTCTTCGCCATTCCTAACCTTACCTCGCGCCTGCGTATTCATCGCTACGCTCGGCTCAATGTATACTATCATCTACATCGTCGAATACCGTACTGTACAACAACGCGCGCCGAATCAACCTCTACGCGTCTATACAGACGCCATCTACCAGAGCCCGTACTCTCCGAAATCATAGTCGAGCTCACGTCCCTTATCCACCAAATTCGTGCTCTTCTCGTCCTTCCCCCACTCCGAAGCAGGCACGTCCTCGAACCGTGTAAAGTTCTCGAGCGTGATGTAGGACTCCTGCACGTCGAGCGTCATGTAGTACGCGAACTCTTCGCGGCGTCTGTGCCGGGGTTAGCATTTGTATGAAAGTCAGGGAAGAGGGGAGGGGAGGGGGGAAGGGAAGGGAAGACGTACTCGGATGGGAACGTATCAACGAGCCGTCCGCCAAGCTCGAGGGACTCGTTGTTGAGGTAGGTGACCCACTGCCGAACAAGCGCTACACAATCCCATCAATCAGCCAACCCATCATCGCGTACAACAAAAGACGAGACCGTACCTTCACTCCGCTCCGTACCCCAAAACGACCAAAAGTAATTCCACCGCGTCTCATTGTACTGCCTCCACAGCTCAGCCTCGTTCGGCAGACGGGCCGTGCCTTCCCAGATCTTCGCGAGGCCGAGAGCTTGGTAGCGGAGTGTTGTCCATGGGCGGGCTGGAATTACAAGGTCAGCGTGGCGAGTAGAGGGGAGGAGGGGAGAGGGCTTACTGTTGGTGAAGGCGAGCGTGGGGTCGGGGATGTAGTGGCCTGTCCAGTGCGTGTTGCGTTTCGGGCGCTGGCGCTGTTCCGTGCGGGTACTGCTACATCGATCAGCCATTACGTTCCCCTTAGTAAGCAAGGAGAGCTCACTCTTGCGAGACTTGAGCCAAAAGCCTGTTCACGCGCGCGTATCCCGTAGCAAGGATGACCTAGCACAAAGACGTCGCATTAGCCATCTCGTCATCTCATCATCGCGAGAGGCGAACGGAGAGATGCAGGACATACCTCGTCGACGCCTTCAATAACCGACCCATTGATGAACGTAATCTTGCCCGACTGGATACCCTGCACATCCTCCTCCAACGGGCCAAACGACTTGATCTCGGGTACAACCTCAGCGCTCTCCGGCAAGCGCTTGAACGAGCGGCGCTGGAACGGGTGCAGTTTCTCCCAAACGTAGTCCTGATTCACTATCAGCGCTGATACACGAGGAGAATGACAACGGAGGAGACATACCTTGCGACTAACATACAACTTCCGCACAAACGGCGCCACATCCCTCGCAATCTCGCTCCCCGACACGCTCGCCCCAACAATAAGCACCGTCTTATTGGCATAATGCTCGGGCCGCCTATACCCCCTCGAGTGATAGATCCCCCACCCCGTCGCGCTCTTCTCGTCCTTAACCTTGCTCCACCCCTCGATCCCCTCGATCTCGGGCACATGCGGCAGCTCGGCGTCGAGTCCGAGCGCGACGACTACGGCGTCGAACTCCTGCTCGTACCACGTCGCCTCGAGCCGGTTCGTCTCGGTAAGCTTACGGACTTTCTTGAGCGTCAACGTCCATTTCCCGGCCTCTTCGTCCTTGCGCAACCGCTCGACGCGAGTGTTATACGCCACCACCCCCTCATCATCGTCGCTCGCCAACCCGTGTATCGCCGCGTACCCCCGCACATGCTTCGTGACCGTATCCTGACTAGGCGACCACGGCGAGCCAGCGGGGTACGGCACACCGGGCAAGTCAGTGATGGAGATTGGCGAGTTCGTGTGCAGGTTTTTCCACACGGGGCGCGGGACCCAGTGTGCGCGCCAGCGCTGGTCGACCGTGAGGCCGTCTTGGCCGTCGGTGTATATTTCGGTGTGCGGGAGGGTGGAGGGGATAGCTGGTGCAAGGTCCAGAGGGGCGTCGCTGCATGTCTATCAGCCCGAGGTGTGCGATGCATAAAGGAAAGAGAAGAACGTACGGGTACGACTCCCTCACAGGAATCTCATCCGTAAACCTCCAATTCCCACCAGGACCCGGCGCACGATCGAAAATCGTAACATTGAACCCATGCTCTTTGAGCTCAGCAGCGACTTGCAGCCCCGACGGCCCAGCGCCGACGACGGCGACGCGTTTGATGGGCGGGAAGACGGTGTACGGCGAGTCCTCCTTGTCCTTGATGTTGCTGTTAAGCACGACCTGCTCGGCCGAGGCGAGCGCGCCGAGAGCGCTGAGCAATAAGATGGCCCGCAGTTTCATCGCGCCTTGTCGTCCGGTAGCGCGTAGACCTCCACGGAGAGCGCTACGCGTATATACACCCCAGAACCAGGATCTGAGGTGACCTCGCGCCATCGTCGCCTCGCATTCCGACACTCTACCCGGCTAGAGACAGTAAGCCCCTTCAAGGGCTTAGAGAGCAGACATAAGGGGCATAACGCTCGAGGCTTGCGAGATTGGGAGCGGGCATTGCGCGAGAGGCTGGGAAAAGAAGCACTGATGTGGTGGTGGTGGCTGCGGGACGAGGCGCGTGCCGCGTCGCCGAACATTGATCGAGCTGTGGCGCTGAGGTTGGTCTTGACGATGACCATCTACCGTCAGCTAATCTGGCATACTGAGCTGAGCACTAGTATACCGAGCGCTTTGCACAGCGGTGCACTTATTTCAATGAGCTATAGAGCCGATACCGAACGCATGGCATGATCACTACGGATTCCGTTGTAGCACGTAGACTGGCGTGCTGCACCCACATTTCTCTTTCTGATGTTGCGGACCTGCACTACCTCGGGGCGCCGAACATCTCCGATAGGCATGTACTATGTATACACCTACCGTGCGCCGACGTTCGCTCTTGTAGTCTGAGATGCCTATATCTCACGACGATGGCGGGCACGGAACGAGTTGTCAAGATCAAAAGATATACCATTCGCTACAAGACTGGGACTCGGAGATGGTATTGCACTCGCACGTATATGTCTCGCGTTAAAGCGTCAGGTCGTACATTATCTCCTCTTCACCTATCAAACGAACCCCGGGTGTCGTTTCCAACCTCTCCGCCTGCCGTAGAACCTTCTCGGCGCTCCCATACATGTAGGAAGACGGGTCATCACGAAGCCACTGGACTGGCTCCTTTATGCGAACATAGACGGCCGGTATGGCAAACCCCGCTTCGAGACGCGCATCAAGCGTGTCTGCCAGAGGCCGTCCATCGACGAAGTTCGATCGCCCAAGCACCTCCTGCCATTCGCTGCTCTTGACGTCCACCAATCTCAGCGCAGGGAAGAAGGTCTGAAGCTCTGCATCGCCGTCCGAGTCCACAGCGAGAAGCCGGCTGACGCGTTCTCCGCACATGCCGTTCAGCTGCAGAACGCTGACATCCCGGAGCACGGCGGTGTCGATGTTTCGGTGCACAACGCGGTCCAGATCGTCGGCGGTGGGGATGTTGAGAGACAGCACGCGCAGTCCAGCTGGAGTCAGATCCTTCAGAGAGCTGAACAGAGCCGACGCTAGAGAATCGCTCCACGGTAGCCGGATATCAAGATCGGGATGTGTGCCCGCGATACCCTCATGCCAATTTCCCGGATAAGGCCTCCAGGACGTGGACGTCAACGTACTGGACGACCTGAACGCACGGATCGTCGCGATGTCGCTCGGACTTTGTCTTACTTCGACCGCTCCGAACCCGGAAGAAGGCACGGAATCCCGTTGGCTGTATGCAGCCAGTCGGGCATAGACAGAACGAAGATCTGCTTGCGTGACGTCGTCTTCGTCCTGCACAGCAATGGAAAGTCTCCCGGAAGGCATTGGGTGGATGTGTTCCATGACGTGGTGTATCATAGACCAGCACCCCCGAAGAGCAAACGTGCGTAGCTTGGTGCTTGCCACCTGCGCCGCCGGAGAGCAGGACGGACACGGACGCCTCGAAGCCTGCTTTGACGGGATCCCATTGCCCAACCGCAAGTGCTTTAGATGAGGCATCGCATTGAGTGCATTTAAGAACTCGTCCATAGACGCAGCGGCTATCCCCTCATGGAAGTATATGTCAAGGACCACCAGCGTGCGGAGGAAAGGTGCGCGCCAAGGAAAGGTGTCACAGCCCGCAGTATCTGATTCAAGATAGAAGGACAGATATCGCAGGCAAGGCGCATCGCCGCCAAGCAGCACATACCGAGGAAAGTCGCCCGTGAGCTCGAGCGAAAGATGCTCCAAAGCCGGCCATGTGCACGACAGGAGGGAGAACAACGGGTCGTCGGCCTCGAGTTGTGCTTCGAAGTTGCGGAGTCTTTTGTAGTGCTGAGGAACGACGGACGTTTGCATTAGATCCCACGGCACCATACCGGAAAACACCTGAGTCTGCCATGCCCTCCAATCAATATTAATGCGCATCTCTCCGCTGCGGTTCAAGAACTCCCGCATCCACGCCTCGCCGAGTACGACAGGGACGTCAGTCCAAAGACTGGCATCGCAAAGAGCCGAATTCCGCCAGCGCGCGCAGACGTGCGTAAGAGGAATCCAACCAAGCAAGCGCAATGTTCTCTCCGCTTGGGTGACCTTCCGGCCAAAGCTCGAGCTGATATCTTTTGCAGATGGAACGGGGAAAACATCCCGAACAATGCGGAATATGCCGAGAAGCGTCTCTGCTGGCAGCCTTTCACTGAAGTCCATGAGGAGGTCAAACGAGCTAGGTGTTGAGAGATGTGATTGCGGTAGAACGACGATGGGCTCCGCGAAGAACGAGGCTCCATGCGCGAGCACACCAGGCGCATCACATCAATTCTCACGCTCGCCGAGATCGTTCACTTCGATCATGCCAGTATACTCCGTGGGCGAGCTTCAATACAGCATCATACATCACACCACCAAAACAAGCAAAGAATAGTGTGTGGCTTAGCTACATCTACCAACTACATGCATTACACTTCGACTCCCACCACTATAGATACTACCCATCCGAGTCCTTACTATACAGGCAACGCCGGCCTCTTCCTCCTATAATGCATAACCAGCTCCCCGCTCTGCCTCCACACGAACTGCCTCACAGCCGCAAGCGTCATATCAAGCGGCAACACCTTATCCACGCACAGAATCTCCCACATCTCCTCCGGGCTTCCTCCCCCTCCCCCTCCCCCTCCTGCCCCACCTCCATAGCTAGTAGCAAGCGTATGAACGCTATGCGCATCAAAACTCGACCTCGCAGACCCAGCGCGGCTCTTCGACAGCCTCTCCATCCGATCCTGCACATGTCCGCACAGCTTCCTCACCCGCAGCGCGCGCGACGCCGTAAGCTTGCTCTGCGCCGTATTCAGCACCTCCGGCAGCTCCTCCCCTCCCTCTCCTCCTCCCGGCCCGCGCCACGGCAGCAGCACAAACCCGATCTTCACAACCCCCACAACCGGCGCGCGTCCGAAGAGCAAAAACTCGAGCGCCCAGAGCGGCAGCGCCTCCTCGATCTCTGTGATCTGACTGCTGACTGCTCCTCCTCCTGCGTTGCCGGTTTTTGACGATGATGACGAGGAGGAAGAGGAAAGGGCGGAGAGGCCCGCGACCGTGCTCCGCCAAAGACTGCTCCACCCCGCCTCGTGCTCCTCCGCTACAACGACATGCACGGCCCCCGGAAACCGCACGTTCACGCCCGCGCCCGCGTCGGCCGTATTCGGCGGACTCAGCGGCGCAGAGCTTAACAACTTCTGCGCGGGCGACAGGCTCGCGTTCTCTCCCCCTGAAGTAGCATTGTTCGTGGACGCCGGCGCGGACTTCGTATTCGCATTCGAGCCCGAGGGCACGCTAGAGTCCGCTCCTCCTGCGCGCCGCGACATCTTGCCGAGCGTTTTAAGGCGGCCCATGAACCCCCCAGCTCCGGCGCTCGCGGGCGTAGCAGGCTCGCCGCTCTCCGGGCCCAAATCCGTATTGCCCTCCCTCTCCCTACTCGGGATCGGCACAGGCGTGGCCCCAGTCCCGCTCACACTCGCGCCGCGCGCCCTAATCGTGAAATAATCTCCCCCCGCTCCTCCTCCACTTGACGCAGAAGGCGTCGTAACGTCTTTGGCGCCGGGCGTCGTGCCTTCTGTTACGGCGCGCGTATGAGGCTTCGGCGTCCAGTCGCTCGGACTCTGCACGATGGGGCTGAGCGGCTGGTTGAGCGCGAAGCGCGCCGCGACGGGCGGCGGGGGGAGCGGGATGAGGTGTGTCGGCGTGCGCGGGGCGGGCTGGGCGCGGAGGAGGGTCGGCGAGAGGACGATTGTTGATGATGATTGTGTCGTCGTTGTTGATGAGCTTTGCGTTGTGCTTGAGGGAGAGGTGGGTAGAGGCGGGGAGGAGTGCGGGGAGGAGGTGCTGGTGTCGAGGTTGGGCGAGGAGGCGTGGCGCGGGAGGGGGTGCGGGGGGGAGGGCGTCGAGGAGAGCGAGGAGCCCGATGCTGTGCGGGGCAGAGGCGAGTTGCTTGACGCCCGCCCGCGGACGCGCATTTCTTCGCGCACGAACGACGCGAACAGGTTGCGCAGGACCCACTTCCCCAGATTCACTACCAAACGCAATCAGCCTCCACCTCATATGATACAGACATGAAGAAAACATACCCCTTACATCCTCCGGCCGCCCCTTCCCATCCCCCACCCCCACCG